CTGAGATGGAGTCTTGCTCTGTTGCCCAGGCTAGAGTGCAGTGGCGCAATCTCAGCTCACTGCAACCTCTGCCTCCTGAGTAGCTGGGATTACAGGCATATGCCACCACACCCGGCTAATTTTTGTATTTTTAGTAGAGACAGGGTTTCAGCGTGTTGGTCAGGCTTATCTTAAACTCCTGACCTCGTGATCCGCCCGCCTCGGCCTCCCAAAGTGCTGGGATTACAGGCATGAGCCACCGTGCCCGGCCTACTCTGGGCCATTTTATTGGCAGTTTCTATTCCACCCATGGCAGATGCCTCATCTTTCCTTTTTTTTGAGATGGAGTCTTGCTCTGTCGCCCAGGCTGGAGTGCAATGGCGTGATCTCAGCTCACTGCAACCTCCGTCTCCTGGGTTGAAGCAATTCTTTGGCCTCAGCCTCCCAAGTAGCTGGGATTACAGGTGCCTGCTACCATGCCCAGCTAATTTTTGTATTTTTAGTAGAGATGGGGTTTCACTATGTTGGCCAGGCTGGTCTTGAACTCCGGACCTCGTGATCCACCTGCCTCAGCCTCCCGAAGTGCTGGGATTACAGGCATGAGCCATCGTGCCAGGCCTTCATCTTTCCCTCTTAGTGATGCTATGTGTCCAGCCGGGCACCCCACTTGCCTGAATTTTTTTAAAAGACTGTGTCTGGCTCTGTGACCCAGGCTAGTTTGCAGTGGCACAGTCACAGCTCACTGCAGCCTTGAACTTCTGGGCTCAAGCAATCCTCCTGCCTCAGCTTCCTGATGAGCTGGGAATACAGGGGTGCACCATCACGCCCAGCTAATTTTTAGCTTTTTTTTTTTTTTTTAAGAGATGGGGTCTGGCTATGTTACCCAGGCTGGTCTGGAACTGCTGGCCTCAAGCCTCCACTTCCCAAGGTGCTGGGATTACAGGCGTGAGCCATTGCACCCAAATGCAAAGTTTCAAAGCCAATCAGTGGCAGAGCTGGGACTGGGGTCCGGACTGGGGCCCAGGCTGAGCCTGAGGACGCTCCCACCACAGTGTCGTGACTCTGGGCCGACCAAAAGCTCCTGTGTAGGAGATGCTGGACCAAGTCGGGGGATGGTTGGGTCTTGCCAGCAAGGTGGTTGAGCTGAGGGCACAGGTGGGGTCCCCAACCTCTCTCCTGCTCTTAGTGCCTACGATGATTACCTACTCACCAAAGTGTGATCTTGGCCAAGACACATCCCTTTTCTCAGCCTGTTTCCTCACCTCTCCTGCAGAGGGTGCCACCATCTCAGGGTGTGACTGATGGGGGGATTCTAGGGCCTGGTGGATGGCGGGCACTTTGCGCCTGTCATAGATGTGAGCTGAGATGGTTTCAGCACCCCTCATCTGAACCCTCAGAGTTAGGCAAGTCTGGGTTTGGGAGAGGAAGCAAGGGCTGTAAACGCTAAGTGAGAGCACCCCTTGGTGAGGCTGCGGACAGCACCTGGGAACAGGAACCAAATACACTGGTTTTTCTGCCTTGGAATTTGCGAAAACTCACACTAACTGGGACAAGGAGTGACGAAGAGGGTTGCCTGGCAGGGCGGTTTGTGTTCTGCGGCCAAGAAGTTCCTGTGAGGCTTGGGGTTTTGGAAGCTCTTGGGATTCTGGAACCGCGGGGTTGGGGCTGGACAGTGAGGGGGCCTCAAGGTGTTGGCCTCAGTGTGGCCGGTGCGTCCAGCTTCACCACCTGGCCTGACTTAAGGAACTTCTAGATTATTCTGACAACAAGCAGGGCTCCCCAGGGAGTAGGATGAGTGAGCAGGGGAGGGTCTGTTTCTTCCAGGGCTGTGTCCCCGCAGCCGGACCTCACCTTCCCAGAGACGATCTTCTCATAGATCTGGATGGGCTGGTCTGCGAAGAAGGGCGGGTAGCCAGCGGCCATTTCATAGATAAGAACCCCCAGGGCCCACCAGTCCACAGCCTTGTTGTAGCCCTGGAGCAAGATGGGGGGGCACAGGGTGAGGAGGGGGCGAGCAGGAGAGCAGAGCCGGCCTCAGGGGAAGGGGAGGGCTGGGGAGGCGCCTACTTTGCTCAGGATAATCTCAGGGGCCAGATACTCAGGGGTGCCGCACAAGGTCCAAGTGCGGCCCTTCACGCGCTTGGCGAAACCGAAGTCTGTCACCTGTGGGCACAAGAACAGGCAGTTGGCAGGAAGGGAGGGTCCAGGCCACGGCTTCCCCAGGGCTGCCCCTCACCCGGCCTGGTGGGCACCTGAATGTATCCCTGCTGGTCAATGAGCAGATTCTCTGGCTTCAGGTCCCTGTAGATGAGATCCAGCGAGTGCAGATACTCGAAGGTCAGGACGATCTGGGCCGCGTAGAAACGGGCATGGGGCTCGCTGATGGGGACAGATGGAGAGGTGAATGTCAGTGGCCATGCCCCAAAATGGTCCAGCAGGTGGCCCTGCAGAGCCTTCCCCAGAGGAAGACACCTCCAGTCCAGCTGTCAGAAATTCGAGGCACCTGATTCTTAGATAGCCCGACATGGGAAATAGCCTGTAGGTCCACCCACAGGAGAATGGAATCACAGACTGAGCTATAGTCATATAATGGAATTCCACTCACCACCACCACTGCCAACAGGACAGCCCATGCATCCACTCAACAACGTGGCTGCATTTCAAACTGATTATGTTAAAGCAAAAGAAGACACAAAAGAACATGAATGATTCCATTTATATCATGTCCACTCCCAGACAAAACAAAGGCACGGTGTTTGAAGTCAGAAAGGACAACTGCCTTTGGCGGGGAGGTGACGTGTCAAGAGAGGGATTTGGCCCGGCGCGGTGTCTCATCCCTGTAATCCCAGCATTTTGGAGGGTCGAGGTGGGAGGATCACTTGAGCCCAGGAGTTCGAGACCAGCCTGGGTAACATAGGCAAGATCTCACCTCTGTGTGTATGCAGAGATGTGTGTGTGTGTGTGTGTGTATATATATATATATATATTTTTTTTTTTCAGTATTTTTTTTGAGATGGAGTCTTGCTCTGTTGCCCAGGCTGGAGTGCAGTAGCATAATCTTGGCTCACTGCAACCTTCGCCTCCTGGAAACAAGTGATTCTCTTGCCTCAGCCTCCTGAGTAGCTGGGATTACAGGCATGCACCACCACACCTGGCTAATTTTTATATTTTTAGTAGAGACAGGGTTTCACCATGTTGGTCAGGCTGGTCTCGAACTGCTGACCTTGTGATCCGCCCGCCTCGGCCTCCCAAAGTGCTGGGATTACAGGCGTGAGCCACTGCACCCGGCCTCCACCTCTGTATATTATTGAAAAAAAAAAAAAAAAAAAAAGAAGAAGAAAGGGATTCAAGGGAATTTTCTGGGGTGATAGAAAAGTTCCATATACTGTTTTAGGTGGAGGTTAGGTAACTGTATACAACTGTCAAAATTTGTGGCATGGAACATTGAAGAACTGTGCATTTTATTGTATGTAAAGTGAATCTGTAGTTTTCTATCTAAAATACAACTACAAGGCCAGCATGGTGGCTCATGCCTGTAATCCCAGCACTTTAGAGGCCGAGGGGGACAGATCACCTGAGGTCAGAAGATTGAGACCAGCCTGGCCAACATGGTGAAACCCCATCTCTACTAAAAATACAAAAATTAGCCAGGCAAGGGGGCGTGCGCCTGTAATCCCAGCTACTTGGGAGGCTGAGACAGAAGAATCACTTGAATCCAGAAGGTGAAGGTTGCACGGAGCCGAGATCACGCCACTGCACTCCAGTCTGGGTGACAAGACTGAAACTCCGTCTCAAAAAATAAAATAAAAGTACATATGTAAACTTATAAGTTAATAAGACAAATTTTTAAGCTAAAAATTTTTTTTTGTTTGAACACGGTCTCTGTTACCCATTCTGAAGTGCAGCAGCGTGATCATGGCTCATGCAGACATTTTTTTTTTTTCCTTTTTATTTTTTTGAGATGGAGTCTTGCTCTGTCATCCAGGCTGGAGTGCACTGGCACGATCTTGGCTCACTGCAACCTCTTCCTCCCAGGTTCACTCCATTCTCCTGCCTCAGCCTCCCGAGTAGCTGGGAATACAGGTGCCCACCACCACGCCCTGCTAATTATTTTTTTTGTATTTTTAGTAGAGATGGGGTTTCACCGTCTTAGCCAGGATGGTCTGGATCTCCTGACCTTGTGATCCGCCTGCCTCAGCCTTCCAAAGTGCTGGGATTACAGGTGTGAGCCACCGCGCCTGGCCGGCTCATGCAGTCTTGACCTCCCAGGCTCAGGTGATCTTCCCACCTCAGCCTCCCCAGTAGCTGGGACTACAGGCATGTGCCACCACACCTAATTTTTTTTTTTTTTTTTTTGAGATGGAGTTTCGTTCTTGTTGCCAAGGCTGGAGTGCAATGGTGCCATCTGGGCTCACTGCAACCTCTACCTCCTGGGTTCAAGCGATTCTCCTGCCTCAGCCTCCTGAGTAGCTGGGATTACAGGCGCCCACCACCACGTCCAGGTAATTTTTGTATTTTTAATAAAGACGGGGTTTCACCATGTTGGTCAGTCTGGTCTCGAACTCTTGACCTCAGGTGATCCACCCGCCTCGGCCTCCCAAAGTGCTGGGATTACAGGCATGAGCCACTGCGCCCAACCTATTTTTTTTTTTTTTACTTTTTGTAGAGATGGGTCTTGCTGTGTTAGGCTGGTCTCAAATTCCTGGGCTCTAGCAATCTGCCCACCTTGGCCTCCCAAAGTGGGATTATAGGCATGAGCCACAGTACCCAGCCTGTATCTTAAACTTACAAATTTATGTAGTTTAATTTTATGTATAAAAATATACATTAAAATCTACACATATAAAACTATTGATCTATATAAAATGAAATAATAGTATAATTTTTATTTTATTTTATTTTTTGAGATGGAGTCTCGCTCTGTCGCCCAGGCTGGAGTGCAGTGGCGCGATCACTGCAAGCTCCACCTCCCGGGTTCACACCATTCTCCTGCCTCAGCCTCCCAAGGAGCTGGGACTAGAGGTGCCTGCAACCACACCCGGCTAATTTTTTTGTATTTTTTTAGTAGAGACAGGGTTTCACCATGTTAGCCAGGATGGTCTCGATATCCTCACCTCCTGATCCACCGGCCTCAGCCTCCCAAAGTGCTGGGATTACAGGTGTGAGCCACCGCGCCGGAACAATTTTTTTTTTTTAAGAGACAAAACTTCACTATGTAGCCTAGGCTGGTCTCAAATTCTTGAGCTCAAATGATCTTTTCGCTTCAGCCTCAGGAGTAGTGGGATTACAGATGCATGCCACCTTTTGGGGCTCAAAAAATGCACAAAATCAACAACTTGAATTTTTTTTTTGTTTGTTTTTGAGACGGCGTGTCACTGTCTCACCCAGGCTGGAGTGCAGTGGTGTGATCTTAGCTCACTGCAATGTCTGTCTCCTGGGTTCAAGTGATTCTCCTGCCTCAGCTTCCCGAGTAGCTGGGATTACAGGTGCCCGCCACCACGCCCAGCTAAGTTTTGTAGTTTTCGTGGAGACGGGATTTTGCCATGTTGGCCAGGCCGGTCTCGAACTCCTGATCTCAGGTGATCTGCCCACCTCGAACTCCCAAAGTGCCAGTGAGAACCACCGCGCCTGGGACCAACTAAAGTTTGGACACCTAACTTGCCATGTTTGCTCTGTTTTGTTTTGTGGTGGTTGAACCATCACACATTCCTCAGCATAGGGGAAACAGAAACCCATAGGATCCTGGGAGACCACCTGCATGTTCAAGCATGCTGGACTCCTCTGCATTCCCCGGGGGGCTTGGTCGTGCACTGCCACCTGTGGACACCCGACAGCCTGATGTGATGGGGAGTGGCCTGCTTACCTGAACCTTCCAATCCGCCGTAGGTGTGAGAACATCTCCCCACCGGGCACGTATTCCATGACCATGTATAAGTTTGAGTTGTCCTGTGGGAAGCAGTGGCTGGTCAAGGGCCCACTCCCTGAGACTTGGACCCTACCTGAAGGCCTTGGGGGCCTCCTGGCTGGTGTTCCAACATTAAATGACAACAGTGATCCTGGCTCTCCATAGGAATCATGTTCTAGGGACCAGAGGCTTTGCTGGCTGAACCCACATGTTGCATTTCATTCTGCCCAGGAAGCAGGGGCGACCCTTATCCTGCTGTTAATGGGTGAAAGTGAGGGCTGGCTCATAGGGATGTCAGGAGCTGGTTAGCCTGCCCTGGCCAGAGGGTGAACTTTGTAGTACCTTGCTCTGGGAGCCTGAGTAAGGCTTTGAGGTCACAGTTTTGTCATCTGTAAAATGGGATCATGATGGGCTGCAAAATTAGTGGGACCCAGAATAAAAAAGGTGGCCCCTGGTTAAAAAGTTATTACGGAGGGCCGGGTGTGGTGGCTCATGCCTGTATAATCCCAGTACTCTGGGAGGCCGAGGTGGGTGGATCATTTGAGCCTAGGAGTTTGAGATCAGCCTGGGCAACACAGTGAGACCCTGTCTCTATAAAAATACAAAAATTAGCTGGGCATCATAGCATGCACCTGTAGTCCCAGCTACTCAGGAGGCTGAGGTGGGAGGATTGCTTGAGCCTGGGAGGCAAAGGTTGTAGTGAGCTGTAATTGCACCACTGTACTCCAGCCTGGGCAACAGAGTGAGACCTTGTCTAAAATAAATAAATAAATAAATAAATAAATAAAAATAAATGGCTGGGCAGGGTGTCTCACATCTGCAATTCCAGCACTTTGGGAGGTCGAGGCAGGCGGGTCACCTGAGGTCGGGAGTTCTAGACCAGTCTGACCAACATGGAGAAACTCCATTTCTACTAAATACAAAATTAGCCAGGTGTGTGGCACATGCCTGTAATCCCAGCTACTTGGGAGGCTGAGGCAGGAGAATTGCTTGAATCCGGGAGTCGGAAGTTGTGGTGAGCCAAGATCGCATCATTGCACTCCAGTCTGGGCAACAGGAGCCAAACTCCATGTCAAAAAAAAAAAAAAAAAAAAAAAATAGGCTGGGCTGGGCACAGTGGCTCATGCTTGTAATCCCAGCACTTTGGGAGGCCAAGGCAGGCAGATCACTTGAGGTCAGGAGTTCAAGACCAGCCTGGGCAACATGGCAAAATCCTGTCTCTACTAAAAATACAAAAATAAGCTGGGCATGCTGGTGGGCACCTGTAATGCCAGCTACTCAGGAGGCTGAGGCAGGAGAAT